GCTTTGCATTTTATATCCTTTAAGATCCTTTATAACTTTAGATGACAAACTTTTATATAAGGAATTTTTTAATCACTGAAATAAAAATATTCCAGGATTTTAACAAATGAAAAAAACATACCCAATAGTTAATGCAAGCTAGTATCAAAGTCTGTTTCCAAGACCATATACTGTAATCCATGTTTGTTTAGACAATATTTGTTACATTCTCTAGTGTACTACTTATATTTTTGTGTACAATGCCACTTCTCTTGCACAATCTGATAAAATATGATCTTTAACTGTTCTTGCAATCTCTCCTTTAGATTAGATTAGGCATCCATTGATCTCAGGAAGGTATGAAGTTGAGTTTTAGATGATGCTTCAAGTACAGTGTCTAGACTGCTGCTGCCTATCTTTCTAGTGCACAAGGCCTGGCTAGATAGATATGGAGAACACTGTTATACATGAAGTAAGTCTTCCCTTTCCACATCATTGAAATGGTCCAATGGAAAAGTTAATGCTAATATAAATGACTCCAGTATCATTGCTAGAGTTGTCAGAACATTGCTGAATGCAATTACAAACTGCTTTACAACACCAAATTTTTCCTTGGGGTTGACTCCTGAAGTATTTCCAAAATCTCTTCTTTATGTATCTCAGAAATGTAAAGAATAATTTCTCCTCTGTCAATTTACCTATGGTTTAGAAATATTGACTTCCCTATCTAATCATAATTTACAATATTCTATCTATTCTAAATTTCAAATACATAACCTACAATTTGTCAGTGATATATTTGCCAATTATTTCCTAATGAATGCTTAAAGACATTACTAACATTAATAACTTTGCAAGGTGATATCATATATGGCACTGTTCTCGTGACTGCCTCCTATAACATACAAAGGATTATTTCAGTTATGCTTACAGAAGGTTAAGTGATATCTCCAAATAAAAAAAAATTATTATCACGAGTTAGATTTCTCTAAGTAAAATATCAGCCAATCTCTATGATACAGTCAGTTCAGATGGTGGGATTTGTAAGATGCTATCTTATCAAAAGCAGTGATTTTTCTTTTTTTCTTTGTCTTTTGTAATGTCAGTATTATCATTTTGCTGATAAATATCTTGTTCAATATATTTTTTAAAATCATGGAATTCCCAAAGAATTTGATACTTGTTCTCTGGTTGTTTCTCATTCCTCTTGACCCCTACCTCCACTGTTCTCCAAACCATGCAAAACCCTGCTTCTTACATTCTCCAGATACCACTTTTGTTTCTCTAAAAGGTTTCAATCTATTCTGCCCTGTGATCAGGTCCTACTTTCATCTCCTTTTCATTCTTTTCCTTATTTAATCCAAACCCTTTGACATTGAAGTGGAGTGTTCAAAGAAGTTATTACATCATTTTGGAAATGGAATGTTGTCTTTATATCTGCTGGAAGAGAAGCTCAGTCACACTTTGGAAAACCATTTAGATCCTTGCCATAATTCTTCTATCATTGGAAGTAGGTGTATATTGGCAAGTGAGTAGAGGCAGAAATATTTCCCTTTTATACTTCCTTTTTCCCCAAAAATGATTTTTTTTTTTAAATTTGAAGGATAATTTGCTTAAAAAAATTGGAATAAATTACATGATAAAGTTTGTATGCTTGCCTAAAATCTATTCAGCTATTTAATCCTACAAAACCCATTGAAAAAATGAAAGTCTTTATTTTCTGTCTATGCTTTGTAAATTGAAAACAAACATGATAACAATTAGAATTGATATATTTATTTTCACATATGTAAGTAAAATAGAAAATAATTTCCATTATCTAAGTGTTATCTTACCTTATGCTCTATAGAAGTTCACATAAGAATGAGTATGTAATGTGTACCTTTTTCAAGATGCCTAGACTAATTCAACTAATCTCTATCATTGACATTTTTATTTTGGAAGTTAATGATACATTTTGAAAAAATTACAAAAGATTTCTTAAAATAATAATGATTATGGATAAAATATAGTGTTACAATCAAATGTACGAGGTTAAATCAAACATTTTTGCCATAATATATCTTTAGACAAGAGTGCAGAATTTTTTTTACTTTCCCTTATATAAAAGTATAATCAATTATTCTCTATTTTGTCTTTAATAATTTTATAAAACAAACTAGCTTTTTCTTATAAAAACTCCTTTTTCCATACCAACTTATCAATAATAAATATTTTAATTGAAATCAGTTCAATACTAGAAAAATACCTTGTTAATATGTACATTAAAATTTAAAATTTGATATTCTCGAGTTTATACTTCATATCAAACAAGTCTGGTTATAATGTCTTTTGTCTGTTGCTTACCATCTTGTCTTCTCTCGCAATTGCAATTATTTTCTTCCAATAGAGATTCAAAGAAGCTTGATTATGATGTTTTTTTTCTTATTTTCTGAGCTTATTCTAAATTCTTCAATGAGCAGGGTGATATCTTTGCTCATCTAGTAAACATGTTGTTTCTTTAAATGCTTGTAAGTATAAACTTACATAGCACAAGTTTACTTGGTTCCAAACAAATATGAAATGGACAAAGTCCACCAATTATTTTTTAAGACATTTTTTATGTTTATACATTCTTTTTATAGATACAAATATTTAAGTAAATGCTCTGTTTATAATAAACAGTATTAATGACATTTACCAGCCTGAATGTTTGAGAAATTTTCATAGAAAATATGTGCCCTCTGACCGGAATCGAACCTGTATCCTATATGGAACCATCATATAGCCTGACGTGCTTTACCGATTGAGCCACAGAGGAGCATTTCAGTTAGCAAGGTTGCTTTTATAGTTTTTAAACTATGATTTTCTCATGTACATTCATATCTACTTGATGTGTATCCAAATGTAAACAAATGAAGTCACACATTATGAAATGGACAAAGTCCGACAATTATTTTAAGACATTTTTTAAATATTTGTATCTATAAAAAGAACGTCTAAACATAAAAAATGTCTTAAAATAATTGTCGGATTTTGTCCATTTCATAATGTGTGACTTCATTTGTTTACATTTGGATACACATCAAGTAGATATGAATGTACATGAGAAAATCATGGAGAATTTTAGTTTAAAAACAGTGAAATCGACCCTGCTAACCGAAATGCTCTTCTGTAGCTCAATCAGTAAAAGCACGTCAGGCTATATGACGGTTCTGTATAGGATACAGGTTCGATTCCTGTCAGAGGACACATATTTTCTATGAAAATTTCTCAAACATTCGGTAAATGTCGTTAATACTGTTTATTATAAACAGAGCATTTACTTAAATATTTGTATCTATAAAAAGAATCTATAAACATTGTTGTCATTGCCTGTGTATACAAAGAATATATCATTGATATATCTTGCATAGAATATGTAGTCGCTACCGATGAGGGGATAGATATGGGTCTCCTCAAATTTTTCCCATGAAGATTGTAGCATATGATGGAGCTGCAATGGTGCCCATGGCACAGCCTCTTACTTGCAGGTAGTGTACTCCATTAAAGTTGAAAGTATTCAATGTAAGAATATGCTCCATGAGCTTTATGATAACTTCTGTGGAGGGGGTCTTATTTTCTTCTTTTAGTAAGTGCTTCCTTAAAAGCGGTTAGTCCTTCAATGTGTTTAATGTTTGAATAAAATGATCTTATGTTCATAGTCACTAGAATAGCATTTTCTGGCACTGCTTGTATGTGATTCATTTTGTTTAGTAGATCTGTTGTGTCTTTGATGTAGGTTTTTACTTCCTTAGCTAGGGGCTGTATGTAATGGTCGACGTATTTGGAAATTTTGGTTGTGTGGCAGTTGAATGATTTTATATATATATATATATATATATATATATATATATAAAAATTCATTTTTCGTTTCACCTTTTTGAAAGTGGAGTCTGAAGATCCAAAGAAAAATAAAATTCTCTGGTGAAATAAATTATTACAATGGAGCCTTGAAGTGGTCTGTTTTTCTTTAAATTAAATTATTTGTTCTGAATTAACATTGAGTTCTCAGGATTTCATCCTCCTTGGGATTATCCATATGGATTACCAAGATTTTCGTTTAATATATATATATATATATATATATATATATATATATATGGATTCTGAGTGTTGATTTCAATGTCCACTTTTTATATTTACATATGCTCTATCCCTGATATTGAGTACTTTAACCCATAAATATAGCATGCCTTAAAACTATATCTTATCACATATATATATATATATATATATATATATATATATATATGAGAAAACTCTACAGCTTCCCAGTATGTATTGTCCTCTTCAGTTAAATTAAATGCCAAGTTCAATTATGTCTTTCAATCTTTCTTTATTAAGTCCAATTCAACCTTTTTGACACCAGCTCACATGATTTGAATTTTTTATCATTTTATTTAGTTATCTCATCTCCAAGCAGCCATTTAACCTTTTATGAAAATGATCCTGTGATTATCACAAGGCATATAGGCTAAATTTGCCAAAGAAGTTTAGTAGATGACTTCAGTATTTAGCTCCCTACATTTAGTTTCTGCTACAGTTTTTTATTCATATTACCTGTTGCTAATACTTGGTGTCAACATCATTTCTAAGCAGATCACAGAATAGAAACATTATCAACAAATGATAAAAATTGAATTATGAGATAGAAAGGCTATGGGAAGGAGAACATTAATATTTTCATGTATTAAAGTAAAATTACAAGTCCAAAAACTTTGATTTCTGATTCAAAACAAAATTGTAACTGTTGTATTTTATTACACTTTACATTATAGTAATGGTTATTTCTTTCATGATCAACAGCTAAATAATATTGTATTTTCCTTAAATGAATGACTATTTCAGTATTTTATGTGTTGGAAGAAAAATTCCTTCCTGTAAACACAGAAAATGATAATAGACATGCATATTATGAGGCAAAAAAAATAAAAACAAAAATGTATTTAAAAATTAATTTTTTATGAATTTACAAAATTAAAATTTGTTTTTTCTTTCAGGGAGAGAAATATGATGGCAGGAAAGCTGATGTGTGGAGCTGTGGTGTGATATTGTATGCACTTCTAGTGGTAAGTATTATACTTTTATAGCCAACATTAAGATTAAAAAACTTTTGGTGACCACCAGACATTGCAGACCTCATGTTTCTGTATGGGATGTCAGCTCATCCCTGAGCAGCCTTTGGGACCAACCACTTCTTATGGGTTGTTTAGTCCTTCCAAACAAGCAAACTTGTCTCAATGTCTGGCCTACCTATATTTGGCATGATATTTCTGACTCAAGAAGTTCTGCTGGCTTGATTCCTGGACAACAACCTCATTTTATAACCCTCTACTTTGAGTGGCTCTTAGGCCTTGTATTGGGTGAAAGATAGTAAAATAAAAATAATTTTGTAAGGGTTGGTTAAAAAGTTATGCCTGTTCTTATTTTAAAATTATTAGTCAGAATTCCTTTTTCATGCTTTTGTAGCATAAGAAGCCCAGAGGTAAAAATTGTGGAATTATCTTCTCATAATCCTCTTTGAAGGTGGTTTTCTCTCTGAACACTTGTAAAAAGCAAAAAGCTTTTCATGTAATATGATTTTGGAAAGTAAAAAATGCTGCTGAAATTAATTTTTCAGCATTTTAATTTCCTTCTAGAGAAAAAGGAGAAACTGATCTTAGTGACAGGTTTTGTGACTATGAATGAGGATAAGGCCAAACAAGCTGATATTCTCATTACAGAAGAAGAATCACTGTTACAAAACTCTGTGATAGCATTCAGGTAAGACATTAATGTCTCCAGCTGAGTGCAGTGCAGTGATTACTGAAATGTCTATGCAACATGGGTTCCCAAAATGCTGACTCAATTAAGGAGCAGAGTGCTGCACAACACTAATAACACTTTCCTAAACAGGATAGTCACAGATGAGACAAGACAGGTTCACCACAATGAACCAGGGAAGAGATGGCTACAAGGAAGGTATATATACCTTCATTCAAAGGTTGAATGCTATGATTGAGAAGAAAGGTGAAGTCTAGACTTGGAATCTTGAAAATTTTGATATGCTTTGTGTGCTTCTACTATTAAATATGTTGTAATTAAATAACAGGCATTAGTTTTTAATATACTCTTGACAATGTTTATCTAGCTGAGGCCAGGCAAACTTTGATTTGTAGTAACATCAGGAAATTCTCCCAGATATATTGTAATTGATTTCTCTTACTCATATTTCATCTCCCCAGAAATTAAATGTTATGCACAAACAGATCCGTATCATAATATTCTATTTTTTGTTAACTTAAATTCTTTGATTCTAAGGATACCTTAAAGTAAACACTGATCAGAATTGGCTACTTAGAAAAATTAAAGTTTTAATAGTCCAGTCAATTGTGTGTTTGAGATTTCCTCTGAATAATTATTCTGAGTTGCTCCCTGAAGATTTTGGGATATTTTTCTCCTGCTTAAATTCATAAGCTATGTTCTTGGTGTAAGAGTAATTCAGTTCATTTCTAATCAAAGAAAAAATGTCTTTCTTTTGAAATATAAAAATATCAGTGGAGTAATAATATTTTTGCTTCTAAATCAATCATTTGGACTAAAATTTATTTTTTCCTTATTACATTAGGGCTTTTTTAATTCTTTGATTCAGCCTTCGCGCACACACACACACAGAGTAAATACTATGACACTGCTTAAAATATGATCTCCACTTATAATCTAAATAGCTCTTTTATGATTAACAAGATCATTTCTTTACTACAAAATCTAATTACAACAGAGTATGTAGTGTTCTTTATCTGTGGATAATTTTACAGATATTCAGTTGATTTCATTTATACCATAAATCTAAAGGATTAATAGGAATACTAAATTGTGATAGAAATCTCAATGATGTGTTTTGTTTATTGAGATCAGTAGATACTGCTTTTCCAATGAAGTTCTTTCATAATCAAAAACACTGAAACCTTGAGGTATTCTACTAGCGAGGACTATATGCCCAAGCATTTATAAAATCTGTCATCAGCAAAGTGTGTAAATGTTTGCATGAACCCTTTGCTATGTCCTTCTACTATATTCTAAAACATTATCTCCTTTCTTGTAATACTATTATATCACATTCAGACTCAAAGCTAACATTTCTAAATCACTTGACATAGCTTATTTTTTATGAATGTCTACTGTGTACAATAGATATAACTTTCAATATATAGGCAGAGGTATACCTGTCTATTTACAAACTCTGAATTAGACTACTAGTTAAATTTAGTACTGTAAAATAGTTTTATCACACTTTATTTTTGCAGATTGTAAAAACAAAGTGCTTTTCAATTTTATCATATTACAAACAAGAGTGACTAACTGATTTGATATTATTTACAATAATGTGAAATAGTTTATATGGTGAAGATTTATCTTCACCTTATAAGACCAGAACATTTTAATTACAATTACTGTAACAGCAATCTTTAAAAGTTAGATAATTGCTCCACATAATTTTTGCTTCAATAATACAATAAAGTATTTTTCATTTTAGTTTGGTATCAACTGGTCCTTCAGCAACTGGATTATATTTGCTACAATTCAAGCTACCATCAGTTTTAACCAACTTTCTTCAACCATCATTTTTTATATAATAAAAATTTTTTGCATAATAAAACTTCACAAAGTTCAAATCTCCATACAGCCTCCTCACAAAAATCCCAACTTGGTAGGAAAGTTCAATCACTTTTATAGCAGTTTGCTGGACCCTTTATGGTTTGCTGTTCATGGAACATGGAAGTGGATTAGCATATTTTTCTATGCAATCCATTCCACTCAGTGACACTTGAACCACAATTGGTTAACAGAAGCTAATTTACATAAGATGTTTGACCTCATTCAGTAGAAAGGCATTTTTTCTTTTCTTTTTTTTTTCTGCAAAAACAGCATGTGACACAAAAGCATTTGGCCTTCTGGATATGTCACCATTTTCTTTTGTACAATGTCCCTAAAGTACCAAACTCTTACCCTTAAACTTCACTTCAATTTATTGCAAATTCACTATTATGACATAAGCTGTTTTGCTTTCCTGTAGACCTTGTCAAATTCTCAGTTATTAAAATGCAACCCTAGCTTTGTTTCATTGCTGAATGTGATTTTATTCCAAGAATTTGCATCCTATAGTTCATGCCTTGTTGACAAACTTAACCTGGCCTTCAAATGCTAACCTCCAGGACAGCAACTTAGGGCAACTTCTTATTTTCTACTGATATGAAGTCAAGCCATTTAGAATCCATTGCTATGTCTGCTGCTAAGAAGGTTGGTTCACTGTGTTGTGTCAAACAATTTTTCTTGTCAGAAACCATCTTGAACATTTATAAATGTACTGTTCATCTGTGTAATGAATATTGCTGCCATATCTGATCTGGTGTTCCGACTATATATCTCGAGATTCTTAACAAAATTCAAAAAGGGTCTGTAATGTTATTGGTCTTGACCTGCAATCTCAACTTCAGTCACTTTCTCACCACTGTGATGTCGCTTCCCTTTATTATTTCTATAAATATTTTTATTGTAATTGTTCTAATGATCTCTCCTCCTTGTTACTATGACTGCATGAATTCAAGCATACTACCAGATTAGCAAACAGGTCTCATTGTTTTACTGTTGAACTAGCTAGATGTAAACATAAGTTCTATTCTAATAGTTTCTTTTTTTGCACTTCTCACCTGTGGAACTCTCTTCTGGTTTTTTGCTTCACTGCCACCTCAAAAACTTAAATGCCGTGTCAATCATCATCTTCTGTCTACCTGAAAACTGTTCTTTTATTATCCTTTCTCACTAACTTCTACTCCCAGTAACTCCTTGCATCTTGATATTATTGCCTTGCTTGGGGTGGAATGATTAAAAAAGATGCTTTTTATTTAATACTGGTTTTTTAGCTAAAATTCACTTCTTCAATCCATGTCCTCGAAGGATGTGTTTAGTGATATCTACCAACACTGAATTGGACAAGTCGCACTCATTCATCATTTGTCTTTGCAGTTTTCTTTGACTTTTACTTCTTGATTAGTTTTCATGGCATCCTATACTGTTGCTTCTGAGGGTGACCACATTTTGGTTGATCCAGGAAAAGTAACCAAGAGGATTTATGAAATGTTGCTTCTTGAAATTCTTTAGCTGTTATTGCTTCATATTCTTGCCCATCTTCACTTTGGTTTCTTTAAAAGTATTTGCCATGATTTCGAGCAGTGGAAGAATGCAGGAATTTGATATATGAATTTTCACTACATGTAGAACAAACATTGGTGCTGTTACCAAAAACAATTTAGCAACTATTAGAAATTTACAATAAACTAACCAAAGACTTTATTATATATTAAAAAACAGTATCATATATTAAAAACATATTTATTTATTTCTACTTTTGCATTTTCTGGTCAAAATTAGATTTCCTAATTTCTTTTTCAAGCAAAATATTTATCATTCCTGATAATTTTTCAGTTATGTAGTAATTTGCTTTGTGTATATAAAGTTTTATGTTCTAATAAAACAGGCCTTTATTTATCTTCTCTAATCTAAATACCATCTTAATAATTATATTTCCCTAATTGTTTACAAGTTCCATACTATTAAGAATGAAACCAATGAACTCTTACATAAAGATAGGCTTACCATACATCCTAGTTTAAGGGGACTGTTCTCTGATATAAAATATGTTTTCATATTTCTTTTCTTTTTTCAGCCATGATGCTTAAAGGATTGTTTAGTCATTAAAACATTTTTATCATACAAGGAAAGTAAACTTATAAAAAAACTGAAAACTGTCCTAGTTTAGGTCTTGAAAATAATGGTAAATTTACTTAAAGAAAGATTTCTTTTTTTAATAATTAGGACTAATATACCCACTTTTCTACAGTAGTTACAAATATTTATTTCAGTTTAATGTAATTGTTTATTAAAATAAATAAAAAGTGATTTGCCAATAAGCTAAAAAAGATAACTAGGAATGATATTATTATTATCTAGATTTATTTCAGTGCCAAAGCAACAGCCATACAACTAGCCTTGGATCTATTATTTCAGACAGAAATATCCTTGTTGCTATTTCAGAATTTTCTGTCTTTTCAGTAGGAAGGGACTTTTTCAACCATCAATTCATTCCTTATATTCTTTCCTTGGACTTCTGAATTATTCAGGCTTCCCCTAACTCATTTCTCTACTGTCACTTGATTTTGTTATTAAGAAACCACAAGTCCGTCAGCCAAAAACTAATTACTAATTGTTTCTGGTTTTCTCTCTCCTGATTTTTTTTTATCTGTATAGGTGTGTGTGTGTGTGTGTGTGTGTGTGTGTGTGTGTGTGTGTGTGTGTGTGTGTGTATATATATATATATATACATACATACACATTAAAAATATTTATATCAGATTGACAGTGGGTAAGTGAATGACAAAATTGGAAAAACTTTTTAATGTGTTCTTGCAATGAAATATGATTGATTTGTTTTTTATGACATTTTGCAGGTTATTTAAAGCCAGAAAATATTTTTAGACTATAAAAAATTTTGCGAAGATAATAATTATTTTACTGATGCAAATTCTACCAATTAACTCATAACTAGGGAGAGAAAAGATAGATTCATACTTTTCCCAAGAGTATTTGCATGTAAATGAATATAACCATACTGACTGGAATTCAGCTCCCTGATTTCCAATTCCAAGTCATTATATATTACACCACCCACACATCCAAGCTTACAGTATCTGTTATTCCCAAGCAGTCATCTATCTAGGTACTGATCAGGCTCGATGTTCCTTAACTTCAGTGATTGTATAAGGACTGGTGTTTCAATGTGATAAGTCCATAAGCTGAGGTGATTTTTTTAAAAGTTTTTTTTCACATTTTGTCATTCATTTACTCATATATGCATTAGTAAGTTTACTCAATAGCGCATCAAATTTTCTGACAAAATAAATTTTGTCAGAGCTACTTTTGATAATTAAATATCAAATAAAAAATGAATAAATATAAAAAGGAAAAGAAAAAAGTCAGTTATCTTTCACAGTATATTTAAATTTTTTTTTAACATTGACTACTGCTTTTTTTACCTAATCTTTTTTTTTTTTGCAGAGTTTTATGCAGGTAGACACACTTAATTATGTGTGTGTTTGTTTACATGATCAGTGATAAACTGAAAGATGGTGAAATCGATTAAATTACAATATTCAACACTTGTGTTTTTTTTTACTTTTATATAGAATAAAAGATTGAGTATTTCATTTTGAGTATTTTAATTACAAGAGTAATGAATTTTTGCTTTAAATTTATTTTTTTTATCTGTCTGCTGCTGCTTTGAAGGTAAATTTGTTAGTCATGTGAATTTACTTATAGTTTTTTGTAAGATTGTCTTTTGTATAACTACATAGGAATGTCAAATTTCTTTTATTAGTATTTTTTCTCAAAAAATATACACATATGAACTATAATTGGTCAATTATTGAATGTTTTTCTCCTAAAAATTGACTCTTTTAGCAAGTTTTCTATAATTTCTTTATTTTTGTTTTAACATTGTAGAAAACAGACATCTAATAGATTCATCGATTAAAAACTACTGTCATAATTTTTATGCTCAACTAAAAAGCATATACATTTTTCAGAGGTCAAACTATTTTTCACTAATGCAAAATTTAATTACACTTCAATTTGAATTTAATTACTAGTATGAGTATCTTAGGAATTATGATGATGCTATAAAGAAAAAATATTTGCATCTGTCTTTATTAAATAATTTAGTGCTAACTTGAATTTCATTTTCTGTCTTTTTTTCTTTCTTTATATATGTTGCAACCATCAATAAAAAATCTGTTATTTAATCTTATATCATGAATTTGCCTGCCAGTATGAGTTTTTATCTAAACTATTTTCCCAAGGTAAAAAAAAATTGCAAAATCTTCTAAGAATAAACAAATCTTAACATGACAGAAATAACAACAACAAAAAAAAAAAAAGAAAATCTAAGAATTACTGCATTCATTTAGCTATATTCTACTAAGAATTGTTTGGAACCAATCTTGTCTGTCTTAATCTTTATCATTCTAGAAGTGATATCATTCACTAAGCAAAATTTTGAAGGTGGTAACTCAATCATCAAATCATGTTTGAATTTCTCAATTGTGTTTTTATATCCTGCTATGGTAAAAACAAAATTGACCTTAACTCAAGTTGACAATGAGGCTATTACAGGTGAAGGTGGAATTAATGCAAGTAATATTCATGAATAATGTTAAAAGTTAATAGAAAGAAGTAACAATTTTATTATTTCTGTCAGGGATCTCATAGAAAGAATCTCTTAATTTATTGTTTTTCACTTTGTGTTCCATGAATGTAGCCTTGTATAAAAATTGACTTCAACAAATAGCTTCTAATTTGAACATGTTTGATAAAATTGTGATCCTCAGAGAAAAAGGTGATTGTTTAGAGTGTCAGGTCTAATTAAAGTTTCACCTTTCTATATCATCTTTTATATTGGTTTGAATATGTAAATTAAATGAACGCACACACACACACACACACACACACACACACACATATATATTCACATGGCTTGTTGCATGTTCATAAGGTAGTATTTGATCACCACGAGCAGGATAACCTGAGTGAAAGTGTCTGATGTTTGATAAACCCGAAACTCCTGAGGATTGAATCACTGATGATGTGGTTGTGGTCATCTTACAGATATGTATTTCTAAACATATATATTAATTAGTTTATCATTAAACATTTCTAACTTGATGTTTTATTGCACTATTGAATAAAAAAAATGGAAGCTGATAAAGTAATTTGTTTAAGAAAAATTGAATCAATGGTTTCTAGTTTAACCCCAGTTGAGAATTTCTTTTATTTTATTTTTTTCAGGGTGCTCTACCTTTTGATGATGACAATTTAAGAAATCTTTTGGAAAAGGTGAAGAAAGGTGTCTTTCACATTCCCCATTTTGTGCCTCCAGACTGCCAGAATCTTTTACGAGGCATGATTGAAGTAGATCCTGAAAAACGATTAACGGTATGAATATTACTTAATATATCTGTGTTATCTTTTTAAATATATCTTTATATATTACTAATAGGAACAAGAATATAGCAGTAATAATTTAAAGTAGGGTTAGTTAATGAGACAAAGTGATTATTATAGTAGGTCAGATTAGACCAAAATTAAAATCAAACTAATTTATTAAATAAGCTAAAAGAAATTCATTGCTTAATTGATGGCATCATTTCAATAACATTTTTAAAAGTAGAGATTTATATAGTTTATAGTCTCAAATTTATTGAACAATTAATTTAAAAAGAGATAAATTTTAACAGAAGCATTCAGAAATGTTAAGACCTTAGAAAGATCACAGAAATATTATTTTTTAAATAATATTCATCAATTCAAAACACTTGTAGTATAACATTTTAAAGGAATAGGAGCACTACAGGCCTCTATCAAGTAAAAGCAGACTTTAAAATTTAAAAAATATCAATGTTAAATTCATTAAATTAGATGGAAGTCTTTCTTTAAATAAGTTTGCTCCCATCTGAAAGAGTTTTAAAAAAAAAGAAAAGCTAATCTGTTTAATAATGATCAGCATGTAAATTATTTTCTCTCTAGAAAAAGAAATCCATACCTAAAATCTTGATGGCCTCTTGATTCAGTTCAACACATTACTCCCATTTACATTATACAGACTAGTGTCCTCATCTTTGTCGCCATATATATAACAACATTTCAGCTATTTTTGTTGTTACCATCATGTTTTTTTGCAATTCTTGTTGTTATTAAGAAATCAGCACATATGCTAGGCCACAAAAATCTCCTGACCGATCAAGCATAAAAATGATTACAATATGGGAACCAGTAATAAGGAGTACCAGAGAAAAGCAATAATAACAACAAAAATTGCAATATGAGCTCTGGTAAAAACATGAAATGATAACAGCAAAAATTGCAATATAAGCACTGGTAAAAAATGGTTGCTGAGACATTAGGTTTATAATACCCAGAAATTCATACTCAGATGTCCTTAAGGACACATGGCACAGTGCATAAAGGCATTGGTTAGATCCAGTGACAGGATTCTAAGAGTGTTAAGGCAGTGGAGAACTTGGGGAGGGGAATTAACAGGAGATAACTGATATCCATTAAACATGGCACGTGGAACTAGACTACCCCAGTGAGCGAAATAAAGGGTTCAGTTCAACATTCCAACCACCTGAAGAAGGCCGGAGTGTTGTAATAAATATGACAACAAAGATGAGGACACTAGTCCGAATAATGTAAATAGTGTACATAATACCTCATCTCAGAAATATAGACACATTACTCCCACATTAGGCCTCTCACTCACTCACTCACTCACTCACTCACTCACTCACTCACTCACATACACACACACACACACACACCACCCAATTTCAACAAGACAAAATATTCTCCATGCAGGCAAAATTCCTAAAAATACTTATTTATATTTTCTTTTGGCTTTAAGTGAAGGAAATTAGATATTTTTATAGTTTTATAGCATTTTCATCTCCATATTACCCATTTATCATCAGACAACATAGTTTTCTCATAGTTTTGCTAAGTTGCCAAACCAAGCATTTATATATAGAGTTTCATGTGTGTATGCCAATTTTAATATTTAAAAAAAGCCTAATGTTACTGGCAAATTATATTTTTAAAAAAATATAAACAAAGAATTATTTCCCCTAAACTTCATGTCACTGCAAATTTTAATCACTCTAACTGTAATTTAAAAAGTGAATAAATTATTGTGATTGTCTCTTTCTAGTCTCTAAGGATCTTGTTATTTCAATTGTAATCACAGTACATTGTTTTCTTAATGAGTAAAGATTCATTATTCATTGCTTTCATATATGTGGATTTACACACTGACATGAGAAAATATGTGTGCCTCTTGCATACAGGCTATTTGGGCCCGAGATTGAGAACTTCTACCTGCTAACCAAAAGGGATCATTGTCATTTCCCTTAGAAAATAGATGACTAACCAGACTAAGTTTATATTTTCACACATGTTAATCTACCTTACTCAGCCACTAAATTGATTAAAAACAAAAATTACATATTTTCTGCATGAGCATATTACATACTTGAAAAAAGGCTAATCACTGAAAAAATATTATATAGGGGAGTGCTGAAAAGTTCTAGGCTCAATCAAGAATTGCTTAAAAAAAAGATTCTGATGTTTGGTCATTTTTTGGACCAAGAACATTTTTTGAGCATGCCCTCATAATAAAAGTAAATATATGTTTTTATTACCTGTTATTTCATTTCAGCTTTGATCCATTGACATTTATATTTATCCATTATAATAGAAATAACCCAAGTACAAGGTTGACCTTAATCTTTAAGGGATTTTTATTTTTTCAAAATTGTTTTACATTAGAATTTGATGAATTTTTAATACAAAAACACTCACAATTGTTGTGATATATCTTTCTAATTCATAACACAGTTTTCAGTAACATATTTATTAGTTTTTTTTCACAAATATAATCTCACAAAATAGAAATTGAAAAAAATCAAGTGTCACTGATATCAGTTTTCACTTTTGATTCACTGTTTTAGAATGTATTGAAATGCCCATTTTCTTTTCTACTTTTTGTATGGTCACAGTTAGAAGAAATTCATCGGCATCCATGGGTGACTGCGTGAGTATTTTTTCTTCTGTTCTTACAAATTTCAGTGAAATTTCACCCTCTTATTAAGTTAAATATCTTAAGAGATAATAATAAAAATTTAAAATAAGGAATGGTATTGATTAAAAGTTAATGTTTATAATTGAATTTTAGCTACATTTTTATGATTTGTTTTTTTTTTAATGTGAATTCAGATCAATTTGATTTTAAGACCTTCAAATTATGCATTTTAAGATCTTAAAATCAAAATGATCTTTATGAACTTTATTAGGAATTGTTTTGTAAACAAAGTATAGCCTCTTAATTTTTTTTGTATTGTTGTTTTTTATAACAGTTTTTGTTTTCTTTGTATGAATAGAGTGATGTTCTTGCTTAACCTTTGCACGATCTCCTTCAGATTGCATCAACCTAAATACTCAGGCACTGAAACTTTTTTTTTATTTTGAACTAGAAATACCAGTTATTTAAAACCCAAATTTAGAATCATTGCCCAACAGAAAAATTAGCAGCGACACTATTTATATTGTTTGGGCTATCATCCTCTTCTTTGTCGCCATATTTATCACAATGTTTTGGCTGTTGTATGCTCCAGCCTTCTTCAGGTGGTTGGAATGTTGACATTCCAACCGCCTGAAGAAGGCCAGAGCATACAACAGCCAAAACGTTGTGATAAATATGGCAACAAAGAAGAGGACGATAGTTTGAACAATGTAAATAGTGTACATAATACCTCATCTCAGAAATATAGACAGAAATTAGCAGCAATTTTAAAAAACTAATATTTAAAATAGTGTCTTATTTTGAGAATACCATTTTGTGGATTTTTAAAAATATTTTATGACCATTGATTGTGTTGCATGTAGAATTACTAAAATATCAAAAAGCAAAACAATAGATGTTAAATTAATAATGGGTTGATGGGGATTTTTAAAAATGATTTAAAGAAGTAAAAAAAAAGACTTCCTCTACCTGTTTTTGTCATTTCAATTTTTGTATACATATAGATATAAAAACGAATACATCCCAAAATCAAAAAACGAAAATTTGAATTTTAAGCCTTTAGAAAGACAACGAAAAGATTGTTTTTTTTGTTATATATTTATAAATGCAAAATGAAACAGTCAACTATTATGAAATAGTGCTACATTACCAATATATAGATATTGTTTGTCTTTATATGACCATCCACCAAGCCACTTTCTATTATTTATTCAATTATTATAAAATTTTTGTATCTAATTCTTTTATTTCCAATTAAACTTTTACATTTTTTTAAAGAAGATTCATTTAAAGTAATAGTATTATAAAAGTTATTGATATAAATTAAGAAAATACCTTGACAAATTATGACTCCAAAGAAAATTACCCCAAACTTTTTGCTTAAGACCAAATAGTTATTATTTATTTGCTTATTTAAATAACCACCAAATAAATTAAATATTTTAGAATAGTCTCAATGTTCTATCAATGAATATGAAATAAATAAAATATATTATCATTTGACTTACCATAATTCTTTACAAGACAAGCCAAGACAATTTACAATGTTGATTAGGTTTAGTTTTCTTGTATAATAAATTGTTTACTTGACCCACATCCCTTAAACTTCAGTGCTGACACAAAAAAAATAATACAATTAGTTGATATCACTAGTAGGACTCTGGGACGTCCTGGCTAAATGATGTGAGGCCACATGGTAAGCCTAATTATCATGCTAACCACCTTTCATAAGATCCACTTTTGCTTTTTTCTCAGCTCTTTTTACTTCATTTACCATGAAGAATCCACAAGAATTGATTAGAGATTTGTTCCTCTTGATTGCTTAATGCCCAACATTCAACCAAGAAAGTAAATTGTTGCCATTTCTGCATGTTTCAACCACAAAATCAATTTTTTCTTATCTTTATTTTCTTTAAAGATAACTAATACTGGTAGTTGTAGTACCATGGCTTTTATGAAAGATTTTTCTTCTTACACATACATTTCCACACCCTTTTTATACTCATCAAACATCCAGTATCATTAACATCATGATAATTGTGAAAAGAAACACAAAACGTCATCAGAAATAGGTATTAATTATTTTACAAAAAATATTTATGTTCTGGTAAATTTGAAAGGCTTATATTGTTACTTTGAAAAATAAATTGTTTGTAAAGAATAAAACTCAAAATTTATGCCATTGACTTTTCTTCATTTATATTTTCTTGATTAAGATAAGTTAAAATAATAACAGGGTTCCTTTTCAAACATGATTCAATTAGATATTAAAAAAAAACTTACAGAAATATGCATACTTATATTTCTTGTCATAAGTGATATTTAGTTGACTTTCATAGTTGAAAACAACAGTAAATGGCTTAATTATATATGGATCTTTGTAGAAGACATCCAGACTAATTAAAATGTTTAAAAAAAAAAACTATATTAGTGTAAAGATCATTAGATAAAATTCCATGAATCTTAATAACCTATTGTTTTTTAATCTGACAATTTTAGAAACTTATGGTTTATATTTGTAGTTATTTACTATATTTAACTTAATCTGGCAGAAAACCACATTAAAGAGACACCCAGTGAGGACCAAAGCTTACAAACCCTCAATCAAGCAGCATTTTCAATAATTTTTGGATATCACTTCTCTTTACTTTGTTCACACTAATATTCTTATCCACATTTTGATTTGACATTACTTATTTAATTTGAGAATTTGGTATATAATTATGTTTTCATATATAAAATGTATAAGAAAATAAAATGCAAGCATTAATGAAAAAGGAGAAAACAGTTTAAAAGTTGATAAGACACATAGATACTCTAATAAACATGAGTAAAATATTTACTAAATATGGGAATTATATAAAATAATAAATGTATACAAGCATATTGCTCATAAAATATAATGGGGTTATTTATGTATGGATCAACACTTCTGCCTACATTCAGAGTATAGTTTCTGTGTGCTCTGTGAAAAATCTCTCTCTTCTCTCTCACATACACACATATTAATATATATATATATATATATATATATATATATATATATTACTAGATGACTTGTTGAATAATTATAGTTTCCATGCATGTGTGGAACAGGAATTTTCATCTTTTCTTAGTTCAGCTCTTGGTCTTTTATTCTCTTTTGCAATTATTTAACAATTGTGAGATGATTTGTTAAATAGATAATCTGCAAAGATTTATTTTCTTGTTGCTCAGTGGGGTTTTTTATTTTTATTTTATCTCGGCTTGAAGATAAAATTCTCTTATCAGTGTTGTTATTATGCCTACCATTATCATCATTACCTTATTTATTTTATTGACCATCCTGATACTTTATTTCTTCCCAGCTTCAGCATGCAGCATTAGTTTTTCATACATTTGTTTCATTATTGATTTCTGACATGTTATTTTCTATTTAAGTTTATTATTTATTTTTTAATCAAGTTTTAAAAATGGCCAGTAAAAATAGATATTTTATCTGTAAATTGATGATTTGTATATAATTTCTAGATCATTTATTGAAACCTGATTTTGATTTTCTATCCCTGGAGGACGATGCCATGTAACTCAAAATGTTTTTCTCACTGCATTTTTGTAAGAAGAATCATAAAGTATAAATTCTCTTTCTGAAAAAGAAATTATTAAATCTGTTCTTAACTGATATAATTTCACCAAGTGACAATGAAGGTAAGATATGACATTGATTAGTTATTGAATTGTAGACACTGAAACTTTACTCAAACATTTCACAAAGACAGTGAAAAAGTTTTTCAGTTTCCACAAGAATCTAGTATTATGAGTAACAAATATGATCAGATATTTTCTGTGCAAAGTATTGACTGGCTTTTGTGTATATTAAGATATTGCTAAATATTATGCAAAAGGAAACTTTAGAGATATTCCACAATAGTATATTTTTCATTGTTATATCAAATCTCTAAATGCTGAAGCTGAATTTAAAGTAACTAAAAGATTGAACTATTTTTCTATCACATAGTATAAAAAAGACATTACAGCTGTTTAAATTTGACTTTTTACTTATGTATATGGTTTTAGCACATTAATATACTCAAGTAACTTAGAAGCTTAAAATGGCTTTAGAATAATTATCAAATATAAATTTCGATTTGTATGTTATTATATTGTCAGCAAGTAGTATAAATGTGTTAGCAGTTACAATTGGTCTTCAGTGAAAATCTGCCAATATAATAAGCATCCAATAGTTGTATAATTGGAGGTTTAGCAACATCATCAACATTTAATTAGAATTATTTGCCAAGGTTACAATCATTAGATGCCAAATTTCAAAGTGATATTGCATTGCTTTAAAATGAGGCATTTATATTATGAAGTTGATTTTCATTTATTGATGATTATTTTATCACCATACATTGACACCAAGAGCTAATAAAAGAAACATTAAGGTTTTCCTTGTTCATGTTAACCATACTAAAAAGCTTCAGTGGAATGGCAATATGGCTTAGATGGTCATGATAGAACAAGTTCTGGCACAGAACTAGTTTAATGAATTTCGTCCACTAGTTCTACATGCCATGCCTCATCAAAATGTTTCAGTTATCTCCCTCAACTCTCCAAGTTGAGTAATATGGAGTGCTAGAGAAAAGCAATAATAACATCAAAAACTGCAATATGAGCTATGGTAAAAAATGGTTTCTGAGACATAATTATAAGTCCCAAAAATTCATACACTAATATCCTCAAGGACACATGGCCAAGTCAATAAAAGCATTGGTTGGATCCATTGACTTGAGTTGTGAGTTCAATACCTGTGTATTGTGATGAACAAAAATTTGGAGAACTGTTAAAGAGAAATAACTGAGGCATCTGGATGTGGCATCGCATGTGGAACTAGAACAACCTACCACAGTGGATAAAATAAAGGGTTCAGTTCAAAATTCCAGTCACCTAAAGAAGGCCAGAATGTACAACAGCCAAAATGTTGTGAATATGGCAATAAAGATGAGGAAAACAGTTCAAACAATGTAAATAAT